CGAGCTTTGAGGCGTCTGAGCACATCGACGTAGAATTTTCCATCAACTGTCTGGCCTGGAGGGACGAATTCTTGATGGACAATCCCCCGAACATCGAAAAAAACAATCAACATTGTCTTGACATTTGAGCGGGATTTTCTTGATTTTTTTGTTCGTGGTTCCCCGGATGTCTTATCGAATTAGATCGGCAAAAATTTCACGGCCATTCTTGCCGAGTTTCGAGAGAAACTTGATTACGACGCGCTGCTCTTCAACGGAAGCGGGCTCCATGCCGACGGGGTTTCGTTAAGAGGTAACTTCACAGATGGCGTGACAAGCCAGTTCGCACCGCACGGCGGTCAGACCAGAACTGAAGCATTGTTAGGGACATAAGGAAGGGGTCCTGCGCTTACCTGGCCTCCCCACTCCTCTTTCTCGCATTCCAGAACACTTTTATACGAACTTTCCGGACAGACCTCGTACATATACAAAAAAAAAATGGAAAGTGCATAAAAAAGTAAGATATTTTTTCTTTCGAATGTATGCCATAGTAACACAAAATAGTCACAACACGGTTTATTGATATTCTAATATCAATATATATGATCAATTTATTTTATAATAATAAAAAAAACTTTTTTTTATTATAAAATAATTCATAAATTCTTAACTAAGAAGGACGATAGCAAACAATAGCAAAACTTTTTCTTTATTCGAAATAAGAATATCATGACGTACCCTCTTATTCTTAAAAACTAAATTCATCTACAATTCTAATTTAACTGTTTTGTTTTTCTTTCGAAAAAAATTAGAAATTTAGCATTAAAGAAAGAGACAAAACAATTTATGGCTAGAATGGGTTTACGAGAAATTTCACGTTTTTATGAATAAAACGGATAGTGTATATTTTGACACATACTTTTCACATCCTAAAGTGTTAGTATCTATTAAAGTATAGCAATGTATACAGTATATATTATTTTCAAACCGAAACAATTATATGCGTTATAGCATACAATTTTAGAGTAAAAATAACCTTTTAAGGATTGTTTCTTATCGAACTTAAAAGTCTGGAAAAACAAGACAAAGGAATCGTACTTCCTTACTAATATTAATAATGTGAAAGTGAGTTTATTTGTTACCCCAAATATATGTTTGTTGTTAGAGAACTATAGATATAAACTACTTTTTATCCTGGTCAGTGAATATATCCCGGTCATTTGTATGAAGTCGCGGGTTTTGACCCGTGAGTAAACATATAGTTGCTTAATAGGCTATTTAATAAGTGTGCGAGTTTTTGGAGCTGACATATAAAAATGAGATCGGTACTCCATTCTCTCCATCTACCCCGTAAGGTGTCTGGCGTGAAGATAGAAAAATAAAAATATCTGACTGTTACGTATATTAGTTTTATTTGATCACACGTGATAGTTAAAACTGGAACGAAGAGAATTTGCAAGATTTTGAGTGTGTGGCTAGCTCGCCACGCGCAGCAGCATGCTTCGTTTGACTTCTGGGTTAATTGCATGGCGGCGCTTCCATCAACAAATCATGGGTTTCCCTCAACACGTAACTCAATTTTCTAGTAAACTATATGTTGTTCGACACAGCGATTCCAGCTAAGCACCTGCGGATCTACCATGAAATTCCGAAATTTCGGACTCAATTTCGTGTTTTTGTTTATACCAAAATCGGACCAATAAATGGAGTTTAATATTTCGTTCGTCATACATCCTAACATAAAAGTCCAAAGGAACAATAATTTAATATTCTTAATATTTCCAACCAGCATGTGTTATGTAATTTTAACATCAAATTTGTGTTTCGTTTGGCTCCGAAATTTCGGAACACATTACAATGGTAGACACATTCAGTGTTAGGGAGAACTAAGGATACTCTGCACAAAGTTCTTCTGCTTGGGTACATCTGTTCCACATGTGTTTCTGCGTCCAAGCAATTGTATTTGTAAGGCTTGATTTTTTTATTTAAAGGACTGTTTATAACAACAAAATTTCAAATTATGGAGACATCTTATATCTCCATAACCTTAATTTTCAGAAATAGTAACGTCATGCGTTACTATTTCTGAAGATTAAGGTTCCACTCTCCAATGCTCTACATGACTGTAGAAGACTTTTTTTAATGGACGATAATGAAATAGTAACCCCACCTGCGCTAATGGCGCTGGCAGGTCATCTTTGAGGACTGATAGGTAAAAATGGAAGGGCAGGTCAGTTAGCCCATCATGATGACACTTCTGATATCAAACACGATGATTAGCATGGGGGACTATAAGGATCTAGACCTGGCACAGTAAGACACTAACAATGACTCTACTATTTTAAATACACTATCTGGACTTAACACGATAAAAAAAAATTGTAGGTAAATACTACCTACATTTTTTTTATACAACTTAGAATGGCAAACAAGCTGATGGCCCACCTGATGGAAAATGGTAACTGTCGCCTATAGACATGAACAGTACCATAGACATAACAGAGTATACTGTTTCACCCATGATACCCCTCATGCGTTGCCATTCCTGAGGACTCAGGTGTTATTCCTATGTACCCAGTAAATTCACGCCATATCCCACCCTTCAAACCGAAACACAGTCATGCAAACACAACTGCTTTACGGTTGAAACACGAATGGGACAGAGGTACCCAAGCAATCGACTTTTGTACAAAGTCTCCCTCCTTTATCGCCTAAATGCGTTAAGTCCCGATAATGTGTTTTAAATATGCGTAAACAACGGGGAAAATTAAAATTTACTAATGGGACCGGTAATTCACATTACTATCCCTCCCTCCATTGACAAAGGTTACTTCGTATGAAGAAGGAGTTCACGTGAGAGGATGTCAGCTTATTTATCATTTTAAGCTGTATTATAATAATTGTACAGTCTCCCTCAGTCTCCCTCAGGCAAATTACACTGTAACCTACATTTGTAGTTATTGATTACGACTAATCTCCCTATGGAGCATTCAATGTGTGATTACGAGGTGAACAACTGAATTCACAGTGGTAGATATAGACCTATAATAACAATAAACATAAAAATTATTATTGAACTGCAATTCATTGCCGTTCAGGACAAAAAAAAATATGCTGCTATTTTTAACAATTCTTACAAATTTTCTAATAATAATAGCCGACCCGGCAAATGTTTTGGAGTAGGTATTTTTTTCTTATTGGGCTAAAACTATAGTATTTTTCAATCTAAAATAAACAATTAGAAAATTTAATTAAAATCGGTTGAGAGGCTTTGAACATTTACCAGAGGGAGACTTTGTACAATAGTCGTTTGCTTGGGTACTTCTGTCCCATTCGTGTTTCAATCGTAAAGTAGTTGTATTTGCATGGCTGTGTTTCGGTTTGAAGGGTAGGATATGGCGTTAGAATTTACAGGGTACAGAGGAATAACACCTGAGTCCTCAGGAATGGCAACGCATGAGGGGTATCATGGGCGAAACAGTATACTCTGTTATGTCTATGGTATTGCTCATGTCTATAGGCGACGGTTACCACTTTCCATCAGGTGGGCCGTCAGCTTGTTTGCCGTTATAAGTTGTATAAAAGAAAAATTAGCGGGTAAAATAAATTGAAGTGACAGAAGATTTTTATATAGGTTCGTCATGTTATCACGTCAGCTGTTAACTGTCCACTGCTGAACATAGGCCTCCCCTTATTGGAGGGCTTTGCCAGTACCACGCTTGGCAAGTAGATTGGCAACCGCAGTTAAGCTGGCAACACTGCTGCCCATCCCTCGACTATTAAGTTTCCTTAGTTGCTTCTTATGACACACACGAGAAAGAAAGGGGTGGCCCATTCTATATCGGGACAAGGCAATATTTTTATAGGTTATTTCAAATTAAATCCATTCAAGCATGCTCATCTTTATACTGTTAACAATTTAATCAGCTGATTAAGGCCATATTGTCCAAAGTTTCAGTCAGCACTGATTAGGCAAATCGCATTTGCATAGCAGACACAATATATGCTAATGAGGTAATTGTGCATTCTGCGGTCAGCTTGGTTGATTCACACCTGTATTCAAAACGTCAGAATATATCTAGCTGGTATAATTTTTAGAAAAACATATGGATAGATTATTTATATGCATTACTTACAGCATACAAATAACAACAGATATGGATATATACACAAAAAAAGAAATAAAAGAATACATATAAAAAAAAAACAAAAGGAAAATATATGAAAGAAATAACTTAATTTTTCATTTCGTGAGTATGCCACAGTAATAGTAACACATATCTGCCTTAACCACTTCACGTAAGCCAACTTCGCTTTACTTAATAGCAAATTATTTTGTGGTCGTTAAGGCACCTTATTCATTTTGAAATAATTAAAGTAGCTCATTTAAATTAGTACTTTTTCATACAACTATTCTAAATTACAAACAAGCTGACAGCACACCTGGTAGAAAGTGGCACCCGTCGCCTATAGACATGAACAGTACCATGGGCATAACAGATCTGTATTATTTATTATAGTTATGTAGTATTTATGCATAGATAAATAGATAGCATGATTAAAATACGTCGATAAAATAATTACGATTCTTCTACTTTTAAAAAGCGCCAGCTTTTATGATTAAAGCCAATGCTTGTTCATTTTTAAATCTAATAATTTTAATACTAATTAAATTAATGTAATTATATTACGCTATATAGAATCAAATTATAATTTTATTTAAAACTCTTATAAGATACAAATACGACTATAGGTATTAACTGAATTGTCAAAATAAACTTAAATTCTGAATGTTACTAAGAACATTTTGATTTTAACTTAAATATTATTTTACCGATTCTTAAAATTCTCTCACCTATAGATAGCTCCTTCGTAATTAACATGTAATATGGACAGTTATTTTATTACAAAAAAAAAAAATAAAGATCGCTACAATATAAACAGAGCAGGACGAGTCACTAGTTAATGAAAATGTTAATGTCAAAGCAAAACTTGTAAATAATTTCTCAAAATGTACTGACCTGCGGTGGACTTTTCACATAGTACTCTGTATCGTTGATGATGAGCCGAAAGTCGTTCTCGAGTAGTGACTCGACCGTGTCGCTCGCTGCGATGCGCACGCGCTCGTCAGCTGCAAGCGCCGCTGCGCGCTCTACGCCGCGGTCTTCTAGCTTTACCTATAAGAAAGGATAGAAAATAAAAAAAAAAATGTATACATTCAATACACAGAGGAGGAGGGAATTACTAGCAATCTACATTGTTGAAAGCTGACAATTTACCCGTCAGTTCGACCTTTTTGGTGAATTCATCTTGTAACTTTACCTACATGAAACATGGATAGTCAAGTTTAGAAAATGATATTAATAAAATGGTAGCGTTTCGTAGTCCCATCGGAAATAATTTCTGTGATTATTTCTAGTGAATTCATTATAATGAATTCATTTCATTGTAACCTATCATACTTCATCGGTACTCAACCTGTGTATACCGACAGCGCAAGCGAGGTTACCATTCCATTACTATCGCTTAAAAAATACAATACAAAGTGTGATACAATCCGAAAACGGCCACATACATCCGACTTTCAGTTCCATAACGAAATTTGAAGTACGCCATCCTACGTCAAGATTCGAGCCACTATAAAAGACATAAACATCCTTTAAAACCTTTAGACAAATGTCATAACCCATTGGACTGGAATTGACCTACAGTCTCTCTGGAAAACCTGTCCTTAGTGGAACCATAGGTTATCCTTAACACCCGCTTCTACAATAATTAGATTAGTTTGAAAAAAATAAGACAAAAGAAAGAAAAGAGACCAACGATAAGTTAAGGGGAGTTAAGCTCGTGTGGAGAGTGTTCTGTAGGTTGATTATCTATGTCTAATAAGTTCTTTTAAATCTAACCTAAATTTGTATGCAGTAATAGTATAACAACTGCAATTGACATTCATACGTTTATATATATATATATATATATATATATATATATATATATATATATATATATATATATATATATATATGAGATTCTTACAACAAGCACTTTTATTTGATATGTCATACAATATAGTTTACAAAACTTTTTTCTAATTTACTAATTTACCCCCCATAAATAGCCCACTATTTAAAAATGAATTTATTTATATTGCGCGCCCGTCTTTGTACCTCCGACCTAAATATGTGTACCAAACAAAGCAATCGGTCCAGTCATTTCGCAGTAAATTATCTATGGTAGATAGACGGACAGACAGACACGCGAGTGGTCCTAAAAGGTTATCGTTTTTTTTTCCTTTTGAGACAAGGAACCCTAAAACGTTTAATAATTTATTAAAATGTACAAACACATAAGTACCCAGCAGTTTCTTTTATTGTCATATTAGGTATTGCTCGCGTGTTATTTCGTTGAAGGCCGAAAGCTAATGAACCTAAAAAATAAAAACGTACGACCGTAATCTGATGAACCTAAGTAATTGATATTTTTTTCTACCTATGAAGTAATTTTCGAGCAAATGAAAGAAATAATATTTAATCTCTCGCATAGAACACTTATTCATATTTCCAGCGAGTTTTTGCTTTAATTACTTAACTAAGAAGCGAGTGTCGAGATGAGAATAAATGATTCATCATTTCGCTTTGCCGAGATATCTCTTGGGCACGATGCTACCAATAAAAATAAAAAATGGGTTACACCGTATTATTATGCGATATCCAGAGATTTGACAAAAAATTCTCTACTTTCTTTTACTAATTATTTAAATTTTCCAACGGGCTTCATAAAAGGAAGAGGGGTCTAAGTTCGGTTGCATAAATCCGCTATTTATAAACCGATTTAGAAAATTCTTTTTTTATCTGATAGGATATCTTTACAGATTAGTAGTATTACATAGAAATTTTAATAAAAGTAGCTTTAATAAATTAGTTTTTATAGAAAAAATACAAATTTTACCACTATATATATGATTCTCTCTGAACTTTCCAGACACTTCATTTGACCAGAGGGAGACTTTGTAGAAAAGTCGTTTGCTTGGGCACCTCTGTCTTATTCGTGTTTCTACCGTGAAACAAATGTGTTTTCATGACTGTATTTCAATTTTAAAGGTGGGATATGGCAGAGAATTTACAGGGTACAGAGGAATAACACCCGAGTCCTCAGGAATGGCAACGCATGGGGAGTATCATGGGCGAAACAGTATACTCTGTTATGTTCATAGTACAGCTCATGTCTATAGGCGACGGTTACCACTTTCCATCAAGTGAGCCGTCAGCTTGTTTGCGTTTCTAAGTTGCATAAAAAAAAACATTAAATAGGTTAGTCAGAGTATATCAGTTATAACACGAACTGCAATAATATAAATAAGCTTATTTATTAATAATTAAATAATATTTTATTATATAAAATACCTTTATTTTGTTATTGATTGACAAAGAAACTCATTCTTATTAAAGTCACTTAACAGAACATGGGCGATTTTAAAAAGCCCCATTGAAATAGAATACACGGGTGACTCGTCATAAGAAAAGCAAAAACACCCAAAGGGCCGCAAAAGAATTCATCATCCTCATTTCATAAATTAACTTTCACTGTTGAACATCATCATCATGATCATATCAGCCGTTACATATCCACTGCTGATAGACCTTCCCCTTAAAAGGGATTTGCCAATACTTGCCACCCTTGGCAGGTGGGTTGGCAACCACAGTTAGGCTTGGGTGGTTTTTAAGAGGGACACTGCTGCCCATCCCTCGAGTATTTAGTTCTTTTAGTCCCCTCTTATGACAGCCACGGGAAAGGAAGGGGTGGCCCATTCTGTGCCTGGACCACACAGCTGTTGAACATGAGCCTTCCTAATAAACTGTTATAGGGAACAATTCTGAGCCACCTGTAGCCACTGCTTATGATTGCAGGAAGCAACATTTGAAGTCGTTACTCCATCTAATACAAAGGACCTCAGAACAGCTTTTGGGATATCCCAAACACTTAAGACGGTAAGACGTACCTGCTCCAACAAATCGCCTACAGTCTGCGAGACAGGACGCAGGGTGAACCGGCATCGTTCACGACGGGACGGCAACGGTACAGTGATCACCGGAAGCCCGCGTCGATACGTCACCGTCACCTCTGTAACAAAACAACATTAAATTTTAATGGTGTGGATTATTACCACTTGTTAAAAATACGAATTTATAATCATACTAGCATTTACCCGCGACTTTGTCCACGCGAACATGTACGATACATGCTTACTGACCGGGATAAAAATAACCTATATCCTACTTCGTTCCATACAGTACGTGTATACCAACATTCATAGTGATTGGTTAAGCCGTTAAAACGCTATAAGATAACAAACAAACAAATTCACTTTTATATTTATAATATTAGTAAGGATTGAATTTATATGGAATAAAATAAAATAAACTCGAATAAAATTTTAAAACCACCCAATAAAATAAAACATGTCACTATTGAGTAAACATTGGTTGCAGCCATAGACTATTAAAACATGATTCATCTACATCTATAATCTATTCCATAAAGTATGTAAATATCTGGGAAGTATTCGTATACTAATTTAATAAAATTATCGTCATCATTTCAGCCATTATCCGTCCACTGCTGGACATTAACCTCCCCCACAGACTGCCATAAAGAACGGTTCTAAACCACCTGCATCCATTGACTCCCTGCAATTCATTTCAGGTCGTCACTCCATCTAGTGGGGGGTATATATAATTTAATATAATAATTAAAACTAATTTAATTTAATATGAAATTTGTTGGCGATATAGAAAACTAGGAATATTAGAAACTATTGTACATACATTAAAAAAAACTTCAGATTGTATATATGTAAAAATTATAAACAATGAAAATAGATTGTATTTCAAAAGAGTATTCTGCCCGACATAGAAATTTCGAATCAATATTCATATGGTAAATATGTAGACCATCCCACTCAAATACGAATCCCAGTAATGAGGGTGCCGTCGTCAAGAACCTCAAATCGCTTACGACAAACGTATAAACCTTTGAATGACAGGCTTGACACATTTAAGATTATTTCCAAGGGGACTCTCAGATATGTATTTACCTACATAACCGAAAGCTCCACTCCTGATCCTGGAGTGGGCATCAGACGATTCTGAGGTGGGCACAGCCTACCTGACCTCCCTTAAATAAACCTCTAATGATAGGTGACGAAAACATTACGAGCCGGCGGCACAAGTGTTGGTACAAAATTATTTCGTTGCTTGAAACCACCTAATTGTGGATGCGCTCCACTTATGCGTTCAAGTATAATCAAGAACAGCGTTTGAATTATACTCGTAGCTGTTTTGCAGCGTTTTAAAACTAATATGTTTCAATTAAGATAAATGACTAGTGTAGTTTGTAAATTACTTAAAAAAAAAAGTCCTCGATTCATTTACTTTTTTTATTTATAATATCACCTCTACCTAAATTCTGAGGCAATTTTGATAATTTTTTTAATATAATTCTTTCTTGCAACCGAAAAAGTTGGGTATTCGTCCTATTAATAATTCTTACTTGCACTCATTTTAATTCTAATTTTGCATTCGATAAAGTTGGGTGTACGTCTTACATAAATTTTCTTATGATTGAAGTCACTCGATTATTTTAAGGAGCAAAATATTAAACCATTGAGTATAAAGTTTGTTAGGTTACAAAAAAATAAATTTCAACTTAAATCAAAATAAAGAATGGGTTAAATTGGAGGTTTCTGTGTTGTATGTGTATAATGTTTATCATATAGGTATTATTTTCCAAAATATAATCGTTTCCTCAAATTTTCAAAATAAAAAAAAACTGTTAACTTTAAAACAGCAGCAATTAAATCAATTATAATAAAATAAATTTGCTTTAAGTACATAAAATAAATATATTAATAAAGAGCTCTATGCATTTAATTGAATTCTGTTCTGTACTGTTCAGCCACCTGAAAGGACATTTTAAAATGAATTACCATGACATTATATTTGCATAATATTCATAAATTTAAACCTATACTAAACATGATACAGTTGAAGGCAATAAATCTGTCCAACGACTTAATTTAGAGACTTTACTCACAACAGTATAGAAAAAATACATTGTTATACTTTCAAGATAACTAATAGTTTGCTAGAAAGAGATACAAAATACAGTCTAAGTTAAAACCGTACTGCTGGTAGAGTCGTTTCAGTAAAAATATATTATGGTTATATTTGGCTTTCAAACTGGACTGTCAACTGAAAGCGCTGTTCTTTGTGTTAAGCATGCTATTAGATACTATACAAATCGAAAAACGCCAGTCCATGCATGCTTCCTCGACCTGTCGAGAGCTTTTGATCTGGTTTCTTATGACATCTTGTGGAAAAAGCTCGAAAATTTTCAATTACCATCAGAGCTCATAAATATCTGCAAATATTGGTATGGAAATCAGCTCAATAGCGTGCGATGGGCGGGGACTATGTCGCAGTCATACAGATTGGAGTGTGGCGTGAGGCAAGGAGGGTTGTCTTCACCGGTACTATTTAATCTGTATATTAATGACCTGATTGTTGCTTTGAGTGGTACCCGTGTCGGCTGTCACATAGACGGCATTAATGTTAATAATATAAGTTATGCCGATGACATGGTGCTGCTCAGCGCATCGACATGTGGGCTTAAAAAACTCGTGGCTATTTGCGAGTCATATGCTGCATGCCACGGACTGATATACAATGCTGTGAAAAGTGTGGTCATGGTCTTTGAGAGCAGAGGCAAAAACTCAATAGGCTTTCCAGATATTAAACTTAAGGGTATAGCGCTGAAGAGGGTGTATAAATTTAAATATTTAGGACATCAATTGGCCTCGGATCTCAAAGATGATGATGACATTGAACGGGAGCGGAGGGCGCTGGCGGTGAGGGCGAATATGATAGCACACAGGTTTGCGCGGTGCTCTAGACAAGTTAAAATTACGTTATTTAGATCACATTGCACATCTGTCTATGCATGCAACCTGTGGGCTGTATATACTCAAAAATCCTACAGCGACCTCCGTATCCAATATAATAACGCATTCAGGGTGTTGATGGGGCTGCCACGATTCTGCGGCGCGTCAGGGATGTTCGCCGAGCATCGTGTAGATTGTTTTTATGCCACGATGCGAAAAAGGTGTGCATCCCTGGTGCGCAGAGTACGTGCCAGCACCAACAGCATCCTGAGTATGATAGCAAGCAGGCTGGACTGTGTGTACGTTAATCACTGCTGCGCAATTTCCAATGGAATTGTGCAGCGGTGATATATATTCTGTATACTGCTTAATATATTGTATGTGTGTGTATGTGTATTGTGTATGTAAATTTACTAACATTAGTTTTAAGAATATTGTTACTAATAAATATTTAATGGACCAAAAAGTCTGAAATAAAAATTATTATTATTATTATTATTTTTAAATTTTACTAAAATTCTCATCTCCCCTCTTCAGGAGAGGAGATGGCAACTAACCCCCGGCAGAAGCACAGTCGGCCGGGGTTCAGGGCCCCAGGGAGAGAAACCGGCGTACAATGCGGGCAGAATCTAAGAGCACCGCTTTCTGCATCTTTCCCGGGAGTGAGCCGCCTCGGAATCCCAACCGTCTGAGATGTTGTTCCAGACTGGTTGGGATAAGACCGTTCACCGACATAACGATTGGGATGATTTCGGTAGATGTCACCCCCACATTTCGGTCACCTCGTGAGCCAGGTCGAGATATTTTCTCTTCTTCTCGGTTTCGGCTTTCACGAGGTTCTCGTCATGCGGTATGGTGACATCCACCAAAAACACCCTCGAAAGTGCCCGGTCCATCACCACGATATCAGGTTTGTTCGCAAGAACAGTCCTGTCCGTGATGATGGATCGGTCCCAGTAGAGCCTGACGCTGTCGCTTTCGAGGACCGGCTGTGGCTCGTACTTATAGTACGGCAACCTCTCATTCGCGAGGCCGTACTTCAGAGCTAGCTCTTGATGGAGTATTTTGGCTACCTGGTTGTGCCTGTGCAAGTACTCTGTGTTGGCAAGAGCTGAACAACCCGAAAGCACATGTCTGAGTGACTCTCCGGGATGGCGACATGCTCGACAGATGTCCTCAGTGCCATCCTTCAGAATGTGCTTTCGGTAATTGTTCGTCTTAACCACCTGATCCTGTATTGCACAGACAAAACCCTCGGTCTCTCCGAAGAGATCACCGAACTGTAGCCAGTGCACGGAGGTCTTCGTGTTTACGTACGGCCCGTGAAGGGCTTTGAAGAACCTTCCGTGCAACTCCTTCTCTTTCCATACGGCCTCCCGCTGAGAGGTACCCAAAACTTCGGGTTTTCGCCAGTCCTCTTTAGCCAGAGAAAGAGGGGTGAATCCTTTGTCACATTCTATGACCTCTCTATGCAAACCCTCGTCTCTTTTCTCCAGAAAATATGTCCTGAGGCTGTCAATCTCGCGGTTGTGCATGGTCTTAACGCTTAACAAGCCTCGACCACCAGCTTTCCGCGGGATATACAGCCTCATGACTGACGATTTCGGGTGATGCATTCTATGGAGGGTCATAGTTGTGCGGACTTTCCGATCCAGGGCTTCGAGTTCGGTTTGAGACCATCTGAGCACGCCAAAAGTGTAAAGGAGTACGGGTATGACCCAGCCGTTATAAGCTCGGATTTTATTGGCGCCCGACAAAGAACTTTTCAGTACTCTTGTAAGGCGCGCAAAAAATTCCTCGCGGACTGACTGTTTCATATCCGTCTCCTTCACACCGATGTTTTGTGACATGCCCAGATACCGGTATGTTTCAGCCTCGGAGAGGGTTTTAATATTAGAGGGATCTGTGGCGATCCCGTCAGTTTGAGTGACCCGTCCCCTCTGCACATGGAGGACCGCGCACTTGTCTATTCCGAGCGCCATCCTAATAGAGCTGCTATAATCGTTTACGATATTTAGCAGCTCCGTCAGGCGTTCGACGCTCGGAGCTAGCAGTTTCAAGTCATCCATGTACAGAAGGTGAGACACTCGTGTACCTCCTCTCCGATACTGAAATCCAGTCCCCGAATTCTCCAGTAAAGTACTGAGTGGATTCAGGGACAGGCAAAACCAAAGTGGACTCA